GTCTCCTCCTTCAAGTAACTCAGGTCCAACTTGGTGAAAGGCACAAACTCGGTATTCAGTTTAATGTAACGCAGGTATTTGTCAAAAAACTGACCCAGACTCACACCCTGGCGACCAAAAGTTAAAGTCCGTGAGATCTCTGGGCGTATACAGGCACGGTTGCGGCGCTGCTCTGGCTGGCGCATCCAGTCGTCCCAGAAAGCCTCAGGCCACTTTGGCTCCAGCTCCTCCCACACCTCCCTGAGGAGCATCCACCCCAGGCCGGGAAAGAAGTCTGTCCGATAGAGCAGGTCGGCCTTGCCGGGATCCACATAGCCTTCCCTCCCATTGTCATTCCAGGCAGACACACACCACAGGCTGGGGTCAGATTTCAGGAAAGGCAGCAAGGCTCGGAAATACTCAAAGAAGTCTGGTGCCACCTAGAGCAAGAGATGAATAATTCAGCTCAACTTTTACATGACCATCGCAACAAGTGAAATAACGAGTTTTGAAAGAAGAAGATTAATTAAAGTTGTAAATAAAGAATGAAAATGAAGGAGAGATCACAAATCATTGGTGTTTAACATGAAAATAATCACCTCCAGGTCGTCCTCCACGATCACCACAGATGAATGACCGAGCGTCTTGAACACTTGGTTGAGCGCCCAGTGGTAATGCCGGGAGATTTTATAGTAACCCTTAAACTTCTTGTGCTCAGGCCTCACTTGGATGTCAGACAAATCCGGCTGCTTCAGATGAGTTACGTTGTTTCCATAAGACCGAATCACCTCAGCAGTCTCGGCATGTCCACAGTCCTGACTCACTATGATTGGGTGGAGCGCTGCTGAGGGCCGGTGCTGCAGGAGTTTGTCCAAGCAGCGCTTCACGGTGACTCTGTTGCAGGCGATGACAAGGATAGGGATGACAGGCCGAGGGGCAGCGGTCACCTTTGGCTTGTTGTCTGATGGCTCCCAGAGCAACTGATGATTCTGGATTTGCAATAGGATTTTTTTCTGCATCTCAAGTTCACTTTCGAACGCATTTGCAAATCGAAGCACGTCTTCCATCACATTGCTGGGGGGCCCTTCGGGACCTTCTTTCTGATCTCGGCCCTGTGGGGGTCTCCCCCACAGCAGGAGTACCAGTATGGCATTCCATGTGATAAACAGGAACGCGCCACAAAAAATAAGACAGCTTCTCTTACGGATCATGGCCCAGAAACTGAGAGAGAGGGAGGGTGGGAAATTTCAGGAAGACAGGGTCTGAACAGAGAGACGTGTCCTTTTTAGAGACAACAGGAATGGGATATGGGAGGGGCAGCCTATGCTTTGTGTCATCACGGGCTCGCTCTGCAGATAGTGAAGTTATAAAGACACAATACAGCATTGGTGAAAGCGAAAGTCGTTAAAATCCGATGAAGAACGAGATTCATCTTGGAGAAAAGTTGTAAAATCCTCAACATTTAATGTCCTCTTTTATCTGAAATAAGAAAAAAGGGAAAATATCAAATAAAATCAAGTCAATACCAAGGTTTCCAACTCTCACAAAACTTTCCCAAACAAATCTCCCATCAAAGGTTTAAAGCCAATGTTTTAAGATAAAAAAATTGACAGCCCTTTTTAGGTTTAACAGGAGTTTTTGACCATTTTTCAGCAAAAACACTGAACTACACATATCAGAGAATGCAAAACACTGTTTATGTGCTTTATTGTCAGAACAGGAACTGAAGACTTTATTAATCATTGAATGAACTATTCCCAACACTGAGAGGATACAGAGGAGCTAAGGTGTCTCACACAGTTAAATCACTTGCTACAGAGGATCGAGCGTCCTGCACTCATGCAGCTGCAGTACTGGTTTGTTGTATTAGTACTGTGTGTGTTTATCTTAGTTATCATGACCTCTCGGTATTCAAATTCATTCAAATGGTCTGGAATTTTAATACAGCTAAACAGAAACTGGGGCTTTTCACTATGCAGATTGCAGACATAGGCTGTATTAAGATGGACTCGGCTTCCCGGACTGAAAAGGGCCTTAAACCTAGATTTCTAATAGCCAGCAGGAGGACTTACAGTTATAAAGAAATCAATGGGACAACGACCCTCAGCTCTCTTACTCAGGAAAGAGCTTGCAGATCACTTTGTGGTCTCAAGTCTTACTGAATAAAACGTAAATTTAAAGGTATAAAGTCTGGTCGTTACTACGGTTTGAGAGCAGGGCTGCCCAGCTTTCGCTCACTGGCACAAGATCGGTCATTCACAAACTGCCTTTAGTTTCTCAGACAGTTTCATTCGTTCACATCTGGTTTCAATACCAAGGCAATGATGCGAAAATGGGAGTCTTCATTACCAGCGTTTGGTGACGTCACAATGGCTACATCCATCTTTTATGTACAGTCATTCACATGCCATTAAGTACCCCCTGCAATTACACGCAGCGTTTGGAGCTTATCGTTTTAAAATAAGCTGCTGAAGTTTGATTAGGAATTTTCTGTTTTTAAACACATTGTTATTAAGTCAATAAAAATGAATAAAAAACAACTTCGTCAGCGACACAGCCAGCACAGTTTACCTGATAATTACTAACGAATTATTAATGATCCCGCCCCGTTAATGCAAAACGGCAGTTTTAGACTATTCAATAGGGCCAGGTCAACCACGAACGCCCTGCCCCCACGCCGCTCCAACTTACATCTGAAAGTTCTGTTTCTATAACCAATAAAGTGAAGGCAGGAAATCAGACAGGAAGTTGACAGTGATGATTCACCAAAATGCCTCTGATCGATTTTCTCTTATCACCTGTGGCTGACTCGACACAGCAGACAAACTGCGGTTTATTAAAACACAAAAACAGCTGGTATCACCGACTTCACCCTCTCAGTCCCTCCCTCACGCTGCTCGTCAGGCGCCTTGTGCTCGTCACAGTAAACACAGTAGTCTGAGGAGGAGAGTTCGGAGCTGCCCTCACCTCACACTGTGCCCGCTCCTTCCTGCTCTGGCCATTTCTTCGGAAAAAGTTCCGCAGAAATGAGGCCAGTCTCCTGCTTCTTCCCCGGCGGCTGGAGCAACTTCACGCCGCCGACTTTCTCCCGTTTCTCGCTGGCTTCAGGAAAAAGAGGAGGAGAAAAGAAGTAACACGACAACTTCCTGGTTTCAGGGCAGACACGGAAGTCCCGCCCCCAGCCGTCACCTTGAGAAATTACGCAACAGTTTGACGCGAGAGCCGCTCTCAGCGGAGCTAATTAGAAACCGCGGCAGCCTTTGAAGTCTTTGTGCACACATACTGTCTGCTTCCCCTCACCGAGGCTTCCACACGGACAGCGAACAGCCAGGGAGGCCCGGGAAACTGCTTTTTCATTTAATTTAGCTAATTTATCTTTTTCTGCTTGAGCTGCACAGGAGCGCGCGTAATTTGCATGAGCCACACGGGAAGAGGGGAACGGAGAGAAGAAAACCTTTCCTTCTATTTGCTGTACTTGTAGACAAGCAAATAACAAAATCACACAGGGTACGGCCTATTTACTGCTTTACTGCAGCTTATATTGTTGCATCCAAATTGCACAAAGCTTGCCCACTTACAAAAACAGGGTAGCTCCAAAGGAATAAAGAATTAATCTCATAAAGAGATTGTGAAATTTGCACAACCATCCTAAAATTATGACACATACTCTCAGTGTTGAATATAACACTGAAGAAATTGGATCTATAAAACCTAGAGAAAGCTTATTTCATCTGAAATCCGGTGTCCAAGCCCTGGAAATTTACTGTTATACCCATAGCTGTTGATTATACTCATTATAGATTAATTAATAACCTGAATAGTTTTTCTGCTGAATCTAAGTCTATATAGATGAGATAGAGCCTTTTGCCTTTAAACATCTTATTTTGACTCTAAATCAGCCTAAAAACGAAATATTTTCAATTAATCCCCACAAGCAAAGATTTATCAGGATGGAGAAGTTAAAATGTCACATTAATGCTGACTAGTCAATAATTACATGAGGACATAGTGGACAATACAAAAACAGTGTATTGCCACGATATTATTCAAAATTTTTATTAATGTTTTGTTTTGGAGGTTTATGTTGGCAGACTTAATGTTGGAGAAATACAGAAAGTACACCTTGTTTCAGTTTTTAGGTTTTGTTGTGAAATCTGTTTATGTTGTCCCAGTAAGGCTACTATGGGGGCAGCCACTAGAGGTCGCTAGAATACTGGTGTGTATATGTGTTTTCCAGAAATTGATGTAGCCACGTACACTGCTGTTACAATTCAATAAAAAGCGGTTCGTGCTTGAGAACCCTGCGTCTTATTGCCTCCGAATATGACAGGTTTTAAATATAATAAAGTAATAAATAATAATAATAAGTAATAAAATCATAGAATCTCAGATGAGCAATAAGCTATGACATATTACTCAGGGCCATTATTTTAAATGCAGATACAGCATGTGAAAAATGTGCTACACCCTTAATGTATCCATACTTATTATTGTGATTGCCTCTACACAAACAAAATTTTTGGAGGCCTGTTAACACAATGGCAAAGGCATCCCAGCAAATTCAGCCCAGTGTCAGAGTAATGCTCAGAGAAACTCTAAAAAACCCAAGAGCTCCATCTAAGACCTCAGTTAGCATGTTAAATTTCATGACAATAGAATGAGAAAACAATTGAAAAATAATGACTTGATGGATTTTTAGAGAAAGCTTCTTCTCCATAAAGAACACATCAGTACAGCTAAGGTTTAGAAACTTTAGTCTGATCAAATCAAAAGACTTCTGGATCAGTGTCCTTTTGAACAGATGAGATGGGTACTCTGGCTTCCTCCCACCGTCCAAAGACATGCAGTTTGTAGGGAAATGCCCATAGGTGTGAATGTGAGCGTGAAGGGTTGTCTGCCTCTGTGTGTTGGCCCTGCGACAGACTGGTGACCTGTCGAGGGTGTACCCCGCCTCTGGCCCTACACTGTAAAATGTAATATTGTGTTTAATTAAAAATATTAAATAGGCCGAACTCAGTTTTTATCAATTTGTTATCAGAACTCGATTTAAATAAGTTACCAGTACTTTTTATGCAAAAATGCTGATAAACTCAATTTATTTGAGTTGTCTTAAC